AAGCTATGATGCGTGTTCCCATGAACAGAGTTCCGAATTAATAAAGACTTTATTCAGAGCGGTTTCCTCGATTTCCTCCACCTCGATTTTTGTTGTAATGGACTCTTCCTTCCAAATAAAATGGAGGTCGCGCTAAAATTTTTGTACAAATTACGAAGAGATAATCGTAATTATGTTTTAAAATATGAATAGAACGAATGCATAAACAGCACAATTTAATATTAAGTTGTCATTTACTAAACTTGAACGATCATATTATTTCAAGTAATTGGATCCATCTAAATTTTGTATTCCTGACACTCGTTTCACCAGCGCTTGGTTGTCGTACAGTACATCGCTGTCTGGTTAATAAATTAATCATCGACTTAAATGAGCTGGAATATAGCAATTTAAATTCTATACGTACATGATCTGTGCAGTAATGAGAATATTCATGTAAATGTGTAACTTTTTAAAAACGGTTAAGACATGTATTTAAATTGATATTCTATTTCTGTAGACATTTTTTAAAGTCTAAAAATTACAACAACACATTGCATATTGCTTAATAATCTGTAATATTAATATCAAACGGAATATTATTATCAGCCCACTGAATTATTATCATACTGAATTACTGATTTAAATTATTATTACTGTGATTGTAAAAATTATGATTTATATGATAATAAAAAGGCAAAAATAAATACCGGTACTTAATTTTAAAGCAAATAACATGAGCGAAAACCATAATGATGCGAAGTAGCATGGTACGGATTATTATTGTAAAAAAATTTGCAGCTATATTTGCGCAACTGCTACATTAGTATTACATGAGACTGCACGTTCAAATAAAGTTTGTATCCCAAATTGTTGAAGTCAAAACATGCCCAGTAGTTTCTGAGGGAACCGCAAGCACATAAATCTCTCTCTCGGCGCTGTCAAGTGCCCCTTCATAGCAGAATAATTATGCCAAATTATAAATTACTTCACACTAGTTAACAAATGTATGTCTCGACGTAACTAAAAAATCCCTGCACAATTATTAGTGCAGTTCATACCTCACTATTCTCGCGCACCCTCGGCCACGTCACTACCCTGCAAGACGCTGCTGCCAAAATTTACCCTCAGTTCGCCCAGTGTGCCGAGCTTGGAGTTGGAGCGTCCGTGAACGGGCCTCTTAATGCTGAACTTATCCATGACAGGTCGGAGGTGCTCTGGTGGCACAATCCATGAATTTGTCCACATTTGGAGTGGGCGAGTGGCGGCGAGTGTGGATGGCAGTCTGGTATATGGGGTGCGTTGTTTTCATCGCGGCGTACAACGGAAACCTCATTGCGTTCCTCACAGTTCCGCTCTACCCCGTCAGGATAGAGACCATCAATCAGCTCGCTGAGTCACCACTGAGGTACGGTTAGAAATACTGGAAGAGCAACGAGCAAGACAAGATATTTTAACACCATTTTTTTAAGTGAATATATTTATTTGTATTTTTGCCCTGTTTGGGTTGCATGTGTCAGCAGGCCATGGGCCTATTTCTTCAGTGCCGACACTTCTATTCGACTTCTATTCTTCTATGTGAATCAGAGATCAATGAACGCTAGGTTGTTCCATCGTTCACAAACGCTTGTAAGCTGCAAGGAAAAATATTTTTTTTGCGCGTTTTTATACACCTTTTCGTATAATGAAAAATTCAAATGCGTTCTTCCTATATTGTATATGATATTATTCTGGCACTGTTCAATTTATTTGAAACTACCTTACCATGTTTTAAACCAGGAATTATCATGGTTGAACTCACACACTATGTTCATTTTTTTAATCGTAGATTTATCCCAAGCGGGCTTGCATCGCGTTAAGAAACTGTACCATCAGAAATAACGCGAATGAATAATGGCTAGGGGCATGCGTTGGAACTTTTCATTGCATTGCAGAATTTCTTCCCATTGCTTTTGTATGTGTATTGGTTCCTAAGTTTAAGGTACGTACTAAACGTGCAGCAGTGAGCAACTAAGCATGAACACCAATCAAGTCCATGTCGCTCATCAAATATTTTCATGTCCGTAGTTAACCTGTTCATGAAACTAATATTATACTGGGAGTACAATATCGACACTTTCTAGAGTCGCCATGTTGGACTACGGAGAATTTGTCCCTGATGCTCTGAAGTCTTCCACTAACAACGTATTGCGCAGGCTCGGGAACAAGCTTGACCTGGTTCCATTAGGTTAGTGGCGATGATTATGTTTATATAACAAGAAAACTGTTAAACCGTTTGTCTGCTGTCGACGACTGCTCCTAGCATGCCTATGTAGGGACGAATAACATTGGAAAATCGTTGATGTAATGTGTTTTATGTCTAATCACCTTTTATTTAAAGACGTTACCTTTAGTTATTAGGTCTTCTAAAGTTATTAGTTACCTAAATGGCCTACTATAGGTGATAGATATTCTCTTTACTAATCGAATGATATGTCTCTCAATGTTGTAGCGCGTGAATTGAAGGAGAATTTTTTAGATTTTTAAATGGCCCCCTTTTTTGCCGTTTTCTACGCATTTCACGTTTTCTTCCAAATTTTTCAACGAATACATTGGAGCAAAATATTTTTCTTTTTGTGATTTACACATGCATACGAAGTTTAAGAAAGATCGGTCATTTAATTTTGGAAATAATTTTGAGAGGAGACCCACCCTTAATTGATCTAAAGGATTTACGTAATTTAGTGTTTTCCATGCTTATTTGTGGTTATACTCAAAGAATATTTTAATAGCTTTGCAGCAGCACTTGCAGCGAAGGATAAGAGGAGTGATGCTTATTCGCTTTTCGCAGGTCGCTACTACGACCCTTGCATGGAGATGGTTGAGAATGGAACTCACGCTCTCATCGATGGCTATTCCTACCTGATGAGGTTGCGGATCTACTATGGAGTCAGAGAAGAAACATATATTCTCAAAGAGCAGGTGAGATGACTTCCCCGTCTTGTAAATAAACGTATATTTACATGAAACTTGACACAGAATTTGATGAACACAAAGCATTCCTTATTTTAATCTAACGTGCCGTTCGCAGATATATTCTGGGCATCTCGCTTGGTTCCTGCCCAAGTACACTCCGTACACCGAAACCATTTCCAACACATTGCATAGACTCGTTGAAGCCGGCATTGTCGGTAAACTCTACAGAAATCACTTCGCTAAAACCGACGTCATCGTGCAAGGCATTGTGAGTTACATCGGTTGCAATAAGACGGGGAATGGAAAAACTATTTCGGTGCTAGTGAACATACCAGTGATTCATTGATGGTTTGAAATTGTGTAGTTTATTTTATGGTATAACACACTAATCTTCCATGGCTTCACCGAAGTTGACATACAGAATGGAATAATTGACAAGCTATCTTTCGAAATTTTCTCTTTCACTTTGTGACCGAATCACCTCCCTCACTTACCATCCTATGAGCACCACATATACGGCGTTTTTTCATTTGATGGTGCATTTTTAACATGAATAACGCATGTACGTATTTTGCACTTTGCGTATTTTTTCAGTGCCGATTGGATGATTCTTATTTTTAATCATTTTAATGATAACTCGCTCCTTACCCACGGGTGACTCTCTCCTCACTCATTAGTGTGATTCTCACCTCACCCACCATGGGGGACTAAGGAGACTCACATACCTCGCAGGCGTCGGTGTCGAGACTCACATACCCTGGACCAACTAACAAGACTCTGGTGCCCCGCAGACATCGGTGTCGAGCTTGTCCACTGGACCAACTAACGAGACTGATGCCCCGCAGGCGTCGGTGTCGAGCTTGTCCATTGGACCAACTAACGAGACTGATGCCCCGCAGGCGTCGCTGTCGAGCTTGACCACTGGACCAACTAACGAGACTCTGGTGCCCCGCAGACGTCGGTGTCGAGCTTGTGCACTGGACCAACTAACGAGACTCTGGGGCCGCGCACGCGTCGGTGTCGAGCTTGTCCCCTGGACCAACTAACGAGACTCTGATGCCCCGTAGGCGTCGGTGTCGAGCTTGTCCACTGGACCAACTAGCGAGACTCTGGTGCCCCCGCAGGCGTCGGTGTCGAGCTTGTCCCCTGGACCAACTAACAAGACTCTGGTGCCCCGCAGGCGTCGGTGTCGAGCTTGTCCCCTGGACCAACTAACGAGACTTTGGTGCCCGCAGGCGTCGGTGTCGAGCTAGTCCCCTTTACCAACTAATAAGACTCTGGTGCCCCGCAGGCGTCGGTGTCGAGCTTGTCCCCTGTGTCCCCTGGACCAACTAATGAGACTCTGGTGCCCCACAGGCGTCGGTGTCGAGCTTGTCCCCTGGACCAACTAATGAGACTCTGGTGCCCCGCAGGCGTCGGTGTCGAGCTTGTCTCTGGACGAACTGCAGGGCGCGTTCCTGCTACTCGTGCTCGGCCTGTTGACGTCATCGGTGCTCTTCTTGGCAGAGTTGAGCTTCGTGAAGCTCAAGTCTATGAAGATAAAATCCAACTAACGACTGAAAATATGTTCACGTACCGTGCGATCTCCGTGACGCTCACAACAGATCCTGCAGATCATTATAAACCAAATGGAAATAAGCGGGCCGCTTTCTAAATGTTGATGATATTTTTAGCCTTTTGTTTGTCATCCTGACAGAGTTTGTTCCGCAAAATTGCGAATATATGATTTATTTTCCGAGAGAGCAGTTTTGTTAGATTCCATCTCTATATCTAATTTACTTATGTAATTTATGATCTGAAAAACAGCCATAGACTCGCACTTGCCCGAGCAATTTGATGGTATGAAAATAACTGTAAATGCAATGAGAGCAAAAAAAGAATACAATGAAAGCCAAAAAATTCAGTTTGTCCTATAACTGCAGTCATATTAGCATCAATTAACCCGAGAATACTTCTCTTAAGATACTTCTTTGGTATTTTATCCTCTAATTTATTTAAAATATTTTCCACAGCAGACACATTAGCGACTGTTAACCCATTGCACTGTGCGTGTTACAAATCTTGCGTTAAATTCAGTAAAACCCATTGAAAGACAAATTAGTTTTTGTCTCTGTTCACGCTAGTACCAGTTCAACCAGTACCACAGTTCAACCCTGGAACAACAAAATCTCTCGTAAGAAAATGACACGCCTTTCCGGACAGCAATTTTATGCCTCAGTGTAACGCAGTGCTCCATGCATCCGAACTTCCGAAGAGCGAAGATTGGGCAGTCCGTGTTCAATTGCAGTCGAAAGGAGTTGTGTGACTTGTGTCATTGTCGGTGCTGTGGTGCTGTACATTTATAGGTACAGATCCATAAATTAAGTTTATTGTGTGTCTATAAAGTTACTGTGTTAATTTAATTCCTAAATTTATTGTAAACATGAAATTGAAATTCATTAGATCCGTAATAAAACGAAATACATAAAATTCATGCAGCCACGTGCTCGGCTAAAATAATCGTTTCGCTTATCCTGTCGAGTCGAGAGTTCCACAGAACTTAGATTTATTTTTTCTGGATAACTTGATCAAAAGTGGCCTATTTGATAAATCTGTCGTCATTTATTTAATGATATTCAGGGCTCAATTTATCACTAGGCTGCATTTTGAACATATCTTATGTCAACAAAAGTTAAAGAAAAATAAGAATTTTCCAAAATTCATATTCATGTAGAAGTTCAGTCGGATCAACTATGAGGCTCATTTCGATGCTACAGCCAGATTAATTCTCAATTTAATATTTTAATTAACAAATTAGTTCAGGATGCATTCTTATCATTCGCCAGACACACAAAAACTCGCCAAATAAGGTTCCGAATTTGTCGATTGTATCCTGGGAGAAGAAAGAGATGCTCATAATTATTAATTAATCTACGGTGATCATCTCGCATTGCTTAGCAGTAATCACAAAATAGGCTACGTCTATTGTAGAGTTCTGGAAGGAGAATGCTAGTCACTCTTAAGCAATGATTACACTACTTTTCATCTGCACCATATATCGAGCCTGGTGGAAGTCTAGTAGCTATTTCATACTATCGTCAGTTTTGAAAAGATCCGGTCAAAGGACATGATTTTAGATCTCCTGTGAACATGTCACGAAATCTACAAGAATCGGCAACTGGCCACATCAGGCCGTATTTTTCAGAGCCGACATCACTAATGTTATGATGTGGCGTCGTTCGTTTGTACATCTTCGTCTATCGGGATGCGCCTGGTGTTGGATGGAAGCTTTATGGCACAAAGTTGCCAACTATTTTACCCTTTGGCATCAAAGCAAGCCAAGAGTATTCGCGTAAATTTTCTCATAAAATCTATAAGCGGTCTAGCCACCTGTATGAGTGATAATTTATGACGACATTTTACATCACTCGCCCGATCGTCGTTTATTCTGCAGTCAGTACACAACGACCGTTTGTTGTGTATGTGTGTAATTGTGACGGGAGCGCTGCCGTAGCCCAAAAATTTGACTCTTAAATCAGCCCAAGAGCCAATGCCAACCCTCTACGTGCAATATAAATAGTCAGCCTAACACCTATGCAGCTGTTCTTACTTGCCTCATCTCGCCACACCAGCTTGAAACAAGCAATGTCTCAGCCCACAAGCTGATACTCCAAACGGATTACGCCCAATAGCTCCTACACCAAATGATTTAAGCCCATACCATCACTTACAAATGCCGTAAGCCACAGGGTCCGCAGAGTGCACCAGACTGCCGTAAATGGGAACGGCCCCGCACCGGACTGTCGCCTCACCTTACCCACTTCGCAGGCGTAAGCCCAGCCCTTATGTTCACCAGCATCTTCTTCCTCCACACTTACCCCTTTCTCTCCACCTTTCTGCGAAAGGGTTAGGTTAGGTTAGAATTCTTCCGCAAGCTGGTACCGAAAGGAGGGGGAGCAGGGGGTAAGCGTGGAGGTTTAGCCTCCAAAGAACGGACAGGCAGGGGAATAGCCTTTAGAACAGTGGTTCCCAAACTTTTTCAGGCTGGCGCCCCCTTGGCCTCCCTAGTGAATTTCTAGGGCCCCCCACAGACACATAAAAAACATACGCCTCTCTCTTGAAATTTAGTATGCTGAAATTTTACAAAATAAAGGTTAAACACAATTGTGTATTTCACAAATAGAACCCCATTTAGTGAACCAATATGTTTTCCAGCTGTTTTAACTGTTTCAGCACTTGAAACCTAGGACGTCTTGGGCGAATTTATGGCCGGACTCGTGGCCGGTCTCAGGACCAATCTCCAAATTCAATTATCAAGTAATATCTCTCAAACTAATGAACGCAGCTCAATGAAACTTGGAACATGTACTCATCAGAACCTAACGGTGATGTGTAGCACGTGAAAATTTTTTTTAATTTCACCTTCATTCATGAGTTATATTGCGATACAGGCCGAAATTCGCAGCTAGTGATCAAAGAATTTCTTCCAAACTACTGAACAGATTTGAACGAAATTTTGAATATACATTCCTAACTACCAAACGGCGATTTTTTTAGATTTAAAACCTTTTTTCATTTACCTTCGTTTGAGATTTTTTTTTCATTTAACTGCCATTCTTGATTTCACACTTCCTTATATCCGGCCCGTATCGCCGGGTAATTTGTCGCTTAAATTCGAGGTGATCAAAAAATTTCTTCTAACCTACCGATTAGATTTCAACGAAACTTTGTACGAACGAAACCTAACCTCCCAACGGTGATGTTTAGCTCGTCACAATTTTTCTATTTTGCTTTCGTTCGCGATTTATACAGATATAAGAGAAACGACCGGCTTTTCTACCGGCCGTTTTAACCAAGAGCCGTTTACGTATAGCCGTATAACTCGCAAACGAAGGCAAAATTGAAAAAAATTGTAACGAGCTAAACATCACCGTTGCTGAGGTTATGTATTTAAATACTAAGTTTCGCTCAAATCTGTTCAGTAGTTTGGAAGAAATTTCTTGCTTACTGCGAATTTAAGCACGTATTGCTGTTTAAATCACGAATGAAGGTGAATTAAATAAAAAACTCGCGAACGAAGGCACAATCGAAAAATTTTCACCAGCTAAACATTACTGTTGGGTAGTTAGGATGGTAAATTCAAAATTTCGTTCGAATATGTTCGGTAGTTTGGAAGAAATTCCTTCATCACTTTGAATTTCGGCCCGTATTGCCATTTAACAATGGCAAAAACAAATGAAGGCAAAATTAAAAAAAATTTCACGACCTAAACATTGCTGTTAGGTCTTAATGAATACGTGTACCAAGTTTCATCGAGTTAAGTTCATTAGTTTGAGAGATATTCCATGATCGTTGAATTTAGTAATTGGACGTGAGACCGGCCGCGAGTCCGACCGTAAATTTGTCCGCGACGTAAAACCAGGCGAAGTTAAAAAAAAACAGATCTGGGTGAAAAAACCATCGCTCGGAGTTATGTGCTGCACGTGTTGTGTCCAAATCGTCAAACAAACGTTGGAACTTCTGACTTCGACTTCAGACTGCCCCCCCCCTATCGCCCTTTTCTTCCTTACCGCCCCCCAAAATCTTTCCATCGCCCACTTTGGGAACCACTGCTTTAGAAGAACGGACAGGCTGGAGAGGTAGCAGTGTACTGATAGCTCTGTGGCGCAGGGCGTTATTTATCGAGAGAGGTGAAGGAGCTAGGCTGCATGGAATAGAAATATTTTAGGATTTAGCGTGTGGGTTACGACCATTGTATCGGCGGCTTGCGGCTCATTGGCTCGCTGGTTTACACATCCATGAAGGGATTTAGTCCCTGTGGCTTTCAGCAAGTAATCATGTTGGCTAATTTGCTCTGCAGCATGCTTGCGCACGGAGTGAAGTATGAAAATTATGCTGGTATTGGGCAATGCTGGGCTATTTCAGTCGTCCCATTGTGACTCGGTGTACGTTGAGGTTAAATATGCCAAAAATTATGCTCTCTGGGAAATTATTCCTTATTCTGACGGCTTGAGAATTTTATGCGACGCTTTCGGTTCGGATTGCGCTTTAACTGGGAATCTACTTTAGGGAAATCGTTACATTTATATTATAGTTAACCCACTGCCGCCATACGTCCATCTCCGGGAACATAACTTTCAACTTAAATTATACGTTAACTATTGAGTGTAGCAACCTGAGGACGTTTGTACGCAACAGAGAACATTTTAAAGTTGTAGTACGTGGCGGCAACCATCAGTGCAAGTCATTTTGCGCTCACTAGAACGTATCCTTTTTGGGAAGTAGGCTTGTGACAATATTGCTCCGGTTACTCATGTCGGGCGGTAAATGGTTAACACAGTAAAGACCATCTAAGAATTTATATTATCAGTTCTGCTAGGCGTCTTGCAAACATTTGCTTCTTCGCTTTACCCGTAAATAATAAAAATACAAGAACCGAATGCAAAAGTGAGGCGACAACACGTTGGTCCTGAAATATTCAAACTGATATAGCGTAAAATTGACTACGCCATTTGCAATAGTTTATATAAATTGAATCGCTGAATTTATGTTTCAGATAAACTCTGTGGAAACATAGATTAATCATCAGCGATGGCATCTCCGTCTGGGACTGATAACAGGTAAGATATTTACTTAAATTTGATCGAAATTTGATTGATCGTTCGACTTCAATTTTGACATCTCTTACAATGACTCAAAATTTAAAAGATTTCATGAACTCAAACTTTGTTGAATTTTCTATACTTCCAAAAATGAATTATCATGAATAGAAAAAATACAAGTTATTCTCTCCGTGTTGTCCATATTTTGATTTTCATTTCTCATTTCGGTTCGGCAATTAAACCGCCTTATAGACTTCCCATAACCGCAAATGGTCTTGTTACAAAATTATGTTTTGGGTAGATACTTCACGCAGAGCTTGTCTGGTTTTTGCACTCTTTAGCGGAGTCGCTAAATAAAAGATAATTAGATTTGTATATAAAAATTAGTTGCATCGAAACCATTTTCAAAAATTAGAAAATACTGATATTATGTCTAACATAATCTTGCGGATAGAAGTACTATATGAAGCTTCTAAATTTGTTATTCTCTGTTTCGAACAGTGAATTTGTTTTAATTACAAGAAATTCATACACGATATGTAGGTATTCACCCGTATATTGACCAGCAACTTCATAAATCATGGCAAACCAATTAACATGAATAAATTCCTAACAATTAAAATCGCTCAGGTCAGTCGAATATACATACCTAATGATTGTATGGTAAACTTCAACGATCTACGTATGTCACAGCAGCGCTAACACTCTCACGTACGATCTCAGCGTCACTTTTCTGCTCCTGGTTATACGGCCATGATCTGTAATCCGATAGTTCTTATATTTAAAGAGAACAAATTGATGTACAAAAATATGTCTGCCGCAAATGCAGAATATGACTAGCCCAAAGCGAAAGAGAACGGTCAGCTACATCATATTCATATTGGAATCCGTATCCGGTTTGGTACTTTACCTATCGTGATGCGATGTTTTTGGCCCCACCGCCGTTTTTAACTGAATTGACCGTAAGTTTTCAAATTACTGATGTAAGATGGCTAGATACAATTTATATGGCGGTTACAATGGCTACTCGAACCATGCCAAAACCCCTCTAGCCTGTGTTTTGATTGATTTTTGATGGGTTATTTTCTAATCCTCAGAGTTGGTGACGATTCGAATTAATCCAGTAAGCCTAAGACTGTGTGATAGAAGAAGGTTTATGACAGCCACTTTCTGCAGCACTTATATAATTTCAGCTGCTATGTATATATGCCACTTTCTACTGCTATATATAGACAGAGCTAAATAATGACTATGGGATTTTCGTAGTGTCTATAGATTGTAATTAAGAGTATATTACTTGCAAAAGATGTTCCTAAACATAACGAACCTATGAATTCTTCTCGGATAACCTGTAAGACAAGAATGCTGATGTGGAAACTCGTAACGGTATTTATTCCTACAAGTTCATGCGGCAGTCAAGCACTGTTAATAAATGTCTTCTACTAGATCATAGTTTTTAATGCTTCATCTGATAAATTATTTGCTAGGTAATGTATAATTTAAGAAAAAACGTGATTCTAGAAAATAACTCAGTTGCTGGCAAATATTGGTTGAAATCGACAAAGAGGTGAACGGTAGCTCCCTAACTCGCTGAATCGTTGAAGAATCCCATTAGGAGACGTATGAAGAACTTCGATCCATGGATAGTCTCGGATCCTTAATTGTATATCTGGTTAACAATATCGCTCTTTTACCCCTATCTAATCTATCCCTATGAACAAAAGAACATTGATATTAGCCTGCTCATCGACCTGCCATTTCTTGACATAAATTTGATATTGAACTCTTTTGAAGTGGTCAAAAGATCCTGCCTCCATCGGTGGTCAAATTAATTAAATGATTACCATGGTTGAATCTCCCGTTGTAATTACTGGCCATTTGCTTAGCTCGGTTCGACGAGAATTTCAGAAACGTAATCACTTCTAAAAATTTTAATTTTTTTTTATTACAAAATTTATACCGTCACTTTGACTTAGCTGCATTAACAAACGTATGAGAATAAAGCTGAGTGTTGTCTGAAATTATGTATAAAATTAAAATGTGTAGTTATGCTTCACAGTCGCGGAGGACATGGTTTAAGTCAACACAATGAGACCATTTATATCGTTGAAGAAATCTTGAAGCCTTTGTTGTCTACTGCGATCTTTGCCTCAAAAACATCTCCGAAATGAGTGATAAATAAATTGAAAAAAAAATGATTACCCAAATTATGCATCACCGCGCCACAAAACTACGAAATAGACGATTTTATCATCGAAGCACTCTAAGAATAAAAAGGAAGTCCCATTCTTTATAACCACACGATTAACTGCGAATCGATGGCAATATAAAGCATGGCGGGTTGGTATTCTCATGGATATGTGTGGAAATGTATCAGCAGCTTGCTGATACCTCGAATTGTAGGCATTAGGCTCCTAATTTACGTATCCTGTGTATTTTTGACGTGCAGTAAAACCGGTCCGCAACCATCGGGCACTTCAGTTCATCAAGGACTCTCCCCAACAATCATCGGACACTATTCTATGACTGGCGAGATCCAGGATTTTGATGGAAGCAACTGCGCACAGATCGTCATAGACTGGGACGAAGCGTCCGAAAAAAAGGTAAAATAACTGTGAATAGAATATGGATAGTAATGAAAAATCAAAATTTCCCCTATTAACGACACGCATTTCAAGGCTCGTAATTACTTAAAACTTAGTTTGAACTTCATGGTATAATAGTATAGCATGGCGGTGCCATTGGGAAGATGAAATAAAAAGGGTCAGAGGTTGCTAGAATTTTGCTCCTACCGCAACATGTGCGCGACGAACCCGTTTTTAGAGAACAAGCTGTGCCACAATGCATTCTGGATACATCCGAGATCAAAGCACTGGCACCAACTAGACTTGATTATCACTCGACGCGACTCTTCGAACAGCGTGCGCAACACAAGAGTGTACCACAGCGCTGAACGCTGCAGTGACCACTCTTTGGTAATATCTAACATCAAAATTCGACCAAAGGTATTACACACCATCGAGAGGAAGTGCCCGCCAAGAATTGATGCCAACAAGGCTTCCTGTCCCACAAGAAACCGAATTCTAGTCGAGCATCTTGCCGACTTGCTCTCTGGCGAATGTATGGGCAGAGCGTTCAGTCGATGGGTGGCGCTCACTACGGAGCGCCATCTACGACTCTGCTCTCATGGCATACGGCACAAAGGAGCGCAAAAGTGCTGACTGGTTTGAGGCCAGCATCGGTGAGTTGGAGCCAGTCATCGACAGGAAAAGAAGAGCGATGCTTCGGTACAAAAGTGACTCAATTCAGCGGAACCTATAGGCACTACGAACGGCTCCGAAACAGGCCCAACAAATGGTTCGCCGCTGAGCAAACAGCTACTGGCTGCAACTGTCAGACAGCATTCAGCAGCTGACCTCAGACTCTGGCAATGATAGGGGGATGTTTGAGGGGGACAAGCGAGCGACTGGGAGACGAGTGGCAAAAGCGGTACTATACTGAGGTCTAGGTCGGGTGAGCCCATTTTCAATTAGTCTCAGCCGATGAGCCGATGGGTTGAACACAATCTCGATCTTTATTCCAATGCTAACAGCGTCTCACAGGAAGCGCTGGACGCTACTGAGGACTTGACTGCCATCGAAGCTCTGGATGCTGAACCCTCGGTGGAAGAGTTTAACAAAGCCATCGACGCACTCTCCTGTGGGAAGGCTGCTGGAGAGGATGGAATACCCCCAGAGCCCCCTTCACGAGCTCTAATGTCTTTGCTGGAGAGAAGGCCAGGTACTGCAAGACATGCGCGACACAAAGATTGTCTCTTTGTGCAAAAATAAAGGCGACCGATGCTATTGTAACAACTACAGAGGGATATCGCTACTCAGCACTAGGGGCAAAATCTTCGCCCGTGTGGCGCTCGGTCACCTACAAGCCCTTGCTGATCGTGTTTACTCGAAATTAAAGGGTGGTTTCAGGGACCAGAGGTCCACAGCAGACATGATTTTCTCCTTCCGCCAGCTGCAGGGTAAATGTCGAGAGCAACGGAGTCCTTTGTGCATTGCGTTCATCGACCTGACAAAGGCGTTTGATCTTGTCAGCCGGAGAGGTCGGTTCTTGTTGCTGGGAAAGATAGGTTGCCCCCCCTTCCCTGGTCTTCTCGCATCAACTCCTCCTTCCATGATGACATGCAAGGCGTAGTAAGCTATGATGGCAATACGTCAGAGCCCTTTAGTATCAAAAGCGGGGTTAAGCAGGGTTGTATCTCGGCCCCTAGTCTCTTCGGCATCTTCTTTTCACTGTTGCTCAAGATTGCGTTTAGGACTCCACTGAGGGCATTCATCTACATATCTACCAAGAGCGATGGCAAACTTTTCAATTTCGCTCCTTTGAGAGCAAAAACAAAGATCCACACTGTTCTCATCAGTGAGTTGCTTTTTGCTGATGAAGCAGCTCTCTCTTCCCATACCGAAGAGGATCTTCAAAGGCTGATAGACTGCTTTGCCAACGCCTGCAGGGAGTTCGGCCCGTCTATCAGCATCAGGAAAACCAACGTCAAGGGTCAGGACGTATTGGTGCTCCCATCTATCACTCACCTATGGCGATGAACAACTCTGAGTCGCCGAGCATTTCGCCAACCTGGGCTCCACCATCAGCAACAACTTGTCCCTCGACAGCGAGATTGTTCAGAGGATTGCCAAAGCGGCTGGTGTGATGGCCAGACTGAACGAACGGGTGTGGTCAAACAAGCAGGTGACGCTACGCACTAAGATTAAAGTGTACCAGGCGTGCGTCCTTAGTGCCCGTATTTACGGCAGCGAATCCTGGACGACGTACGCTAAACAGGAAAACCACATAGAGTGCTTCCACCTTCGCTGCTACCGCCGCATCCTTCACATCACATGCGAAGACAGGGTCGCAAACACACGAGCATCGCATGCGGGACGGTCGCATTCACAAAGACCTGCTCTACGGAGAACTAGCCACAGGCGCGCGTCCGACCGGCCGCCGAGCACTGCGTTTCAGAGATGTCTGCAAGGGCAGCCTCAAAACAGCAAATATCGACCCCCAAACCTGGGAGCAGCTTGCAGACAACCGACGCGGTTGGCGACGGGCTGTTCGGGAGGGTGTCCGGAGGGGCGAGGAGCTACGCAATCGGAGGCTTGAAGACAAGCGTCGTCTCCGGAAAGCTAGACAGCAGGCACAGAACATATTCGCACCAGCAGGCTTCATCTTCGAAAACTGCGAAACTGCCACGTAACTTATAGCTTCAAGTTCTCTGTAATTAACCGCTCAGCCTCCTTGGCAATTTGACCAGAACTATCGCTGATAGCTGGGATCGAATCCATAGCTTACTGCCCAGTCTTGGTACTTTTAACTGTCACTATAATTCATCTGCAAATGAATTGCTTTAGCTATAGATATGAGGTATAAGGTTTAACATTGTCAATAATATCTCTATATAATATCGTTAATAACATCTCTACATAACTTCGTTCATGACATATCTGTAAAGCCCACGTCGTAAATTTACTTCACTCTAAAAAATTTCTTGAAAATAATTTTTAGATGTTGACGAGAATCACGAGATATCATCGAAACATCGAAAGAAGTATCAGAAAAGGGTGTAATGATATTCTGATATTTCTCGACTGCCCTCACTATAATTTCCAGTTTATATGCATGACCATGATAATCGGAGAGTAGAGAAGCATGCTTGCGTATGATAAAAGCATCGGCACGTGAAACCTAATTTGCCTAAAAAAAGCTCTGGCTACAGTGGCACTCCAAATTTGAACATCAACTTTATGGAAGTCATGAGTGCATAAGCATCCATATATTGGTCAAGTCCCATTACAATATTATGAAAATGTTTTAATTCACATTTTCCCCAATTAGTTGAAGACACCAATGGACCTGAACATGGCGATGGACAAGGTGCAGCGTAAGAATATGAAGAATCATTTCAATGACAGACTGAAGAAACTGCAGCACTGGATCTTGGAGCACTCGGAGTGCATGAATGCGAAGCCTAACTTCGTGACGAGCCGCGGCGTGATGCAACGCCTTCTTACTTCCATTTATCCGCAGGAAGAACACCTTGTATTGCATGCCACCAAGTGAGTACCAATTGTACTGCATGCCACCAAGTGAGTACCAATTGTTCTGCATGCCACAAAGTGAGTAACAATTGTACTGCATGCCACCAATAAGTAACAATTATACTGCATGCCACCAAGACTAATCGGTTTACTATAGAGCGAAGATTGGAAAATAACGGTTACATGTAAGCGGAGTTCAACATCTGAAGTTAGTATTGAATGAGATGAAGCCGTGAATGAACAACTCTTTCGATTGTTTAAAAGGTTCCTCTAGGGAGCTCCCTCCTGGACGCATGAACGAAAAGGCCAGATTTTTATTTTATTGACCTCTGTTTCTGTAGTATTCAGGATTGTTTCATGGAGGCTAAGCCGAGCAGACCTCTGTAGGCACAAGACAAATTCGGTATTTTAAGAATTTATTTTGCATATTGTCCATCTCACGGATCGCAAGGAACGGTAATTGGGAAGATATGGAATAAGTAGGTAAAGGAACAGCTTCTCTCTTAACATTAACTTCTCTAAAAACCCAGGCAACCCAACTCTCATTTTCAGTCGCTTGACTAACCTCTTTGGATTAAAACCCTATTGCGGTCAAATGGCCACGCGGAATCTCCTCCCACAAAGACTCATCACATCCCCCGCTTAGAGCTTGAGACTACGTCGTGTCCATGCATCTGCCAAATTATCAATCATCTGCCCATTGCTACAAGCGAAGCATCACCTCTAGCTATTCTCAATAATTAAATAATCAGCATGAAAAGTTGTTGCTCAGACATCAAAATTTATACTATTTCCACATTTTTCAGAATGAAAAGAAGAAGAAATATTTCTTCGATCAATATGAATTACTCGATAATATTAGAATATATTAGAGTTGGATAATTTCCTGTCGTAATTAGATATTGAAGTTTACTCACATCCAAATAACTTGAGCATATAATGACGGTACTTACAATATCTCCAACTAAGACATACTTTTTTTTATTTTCAAAAATTTTCAAAAATGCCCTGAGTGAGTATTTTCTAGAATTGTTTATGTAACAGCTTGATAAATTTTAATTTGATAGATTCAAGATAGTGGGGTCCATTATATTCGATCACACACGTTATTCTTTGTCTATTTTAGCTTATAGTCATAGTTGAAGGAATAGTATTCATTTTTAGCTTGATCACAAAATTTTCAGAATTAAACTCATTGCATTACAGGATTGGCGAGACAATTTTTCTGCTCCGTGTGCCCTCCAAGAAGGAGATGCAAGAACAAGAGAACGCCAGCGAAGAACAGCAGAAGAACAGTCACTATGGTTTCAAGTTCGAGCAATTCATGACGGACGGTAAGAAGTGATTTGGCTGTATAAGAAGTACACAATTTTATCTGAAATAACATGGATCAAGTTGCACCTCACGTGACAGGTTTGATCAATGGAAGGACTGAGTTGAACTGAAATGCTTTGGGGGCAGAGCCGTGGATCACAAATTTTATTTTTACTCTTCAATTCGCCCATGCGTAAACCTTCAGCAGCAGTATAAAATAGCTATTAGATAGTAAGCTACCTTTCAGAGTAAAAACCGCAGATTGCACTTGAGGTATGCTACAATAAATGTGTATTATACCTTATCATGCCGCACCGTTTTCATCTATTTATTAAAACTCTAAATATTTCTTTATTTTCATATCTTTCACGATTGAAGCATGCGTGCTTGACCAGAACACAAAATGATAATATAACTTTTTATTCAGGCGCAGATCCTTCCACTGGAAACAACGAGAATAAATCGTACTATGTCATCGTCCAAGCCGAACTGGCAAACGAAGCTGACTTCAACACCCTTCTGTACGAAGCTGAGGTAGACGGGATGAACAAAAAGTTCTACAAAGACGATCGGCTTCCCAACTGTGACGAGTTGATTGAGCTCAAAACGGGCATGCTGAAAGTTGGTGCCATGGAACAATCTCTGAAGCCATACAAAATGCGCAACACGTGGGCGCAGTGCTGGCCAGTGGGCATCCCGCTTGTGGTGTGCGGCTTCCGGGATGAAGGCGGCGTCGTGGGGCGCATACGCTCCTTCCGTGTGGCGGATCTGCCTCGGGACTCGCAGGTGAGAACTTTTTCTTTGTGAGCCTGTTGTTATTGGCAGATGAGAACTGCGTTTTTCAGGAAAAACCTTACTCAACGGTTTCTGCATTGTAATGATTCATTGTAATTTTTATGTCTTTGATGAATAAAGTGACTCGAAATCGTCTGAGCCAAAATGTGGCTCTATTTCATTCACACAAACTCTTTGAAACACGCAGCTGTGAAGTTGCCAGGCGAACGTGTTCGTCGCAACTGCGTGTTCATGGAAGTTTTTCGCTATCACTTAATTGCATCCTGTAGCCTGAAGTGAAAGTGTTTGCTGTTTGGAATATCAAATCTGAGAAACTCCGTATTATCATGTATCCTTGTACCAGCTAGGAGCCGTTTACACCTCAGGTACGAACACCTAACTGTAAATCAAGCACGGCTTAGAATAGTCATGACCTGAAAGTGCCACGAATCAATACGTAAGTGGGAATGATCTACTGAGCTCTGATTGTTCCAAGTAAGTTTAGTCCCGTAAGATTTCTAATTCGATCCTCTCACGCCATGCACGTGTCTTTTCAGAAGTTCAAAAATAAGATTGACTTCTCACCGGACAAGATGGTAAATGCTCTGAACGAATTCCTGGAATGGGCCAAAACCGAAGTCAAAGACGACGAGGTGGTCTATGAGCTCACTGTGACCCAGCCGCTTCTTACCAGTAAGGGCCAAACCGTGAAGCAGCCGCAGCTTGTCATTGAAGGCCATACCGCGAAGAAGCCGCGGCTTCTCGATGACTTCTCCGTGAAACAGCCGCCTCTAGACAAAGCCGAAGACCCCTTCCGCAGTAGCCGCTTGTCGCCCACCTCTCAGTTCCTCTTGCCTGACTTCGTGCAGGCGATGCGTAGCAACTGACGCCACATCAGTAACGGATGTGATGCAGCAACAATTGAATATTTCACCAAAAAAATATATCTCTCCCCACTAAGCAAAATGATGTCGATTGTACAAACCGCATCCACTTCCATAATAAATAAATAACCAAATAAATAGTAATATTTGGTTATGTGGTATTTATACATTACGTTGTAATAATTTACTAATAAATTCACCTAACTTTCCGGAAGTAGATAAATATGATTACAAACATTCTTCTTCTTCATTCATTCATATCATGAATGAGGTTTACGGCTAAAATATCCAGTGTCAATCCTAATAGAAAATATTGTTAAAAAAAAGCTCTTTCTGTCTGCTCCTAAATTTTGCTTCTAGCGCTTGTTAATTTCATCAATCAATCTACTATTTTTAGAAAATAGATTTTAATTTATTATAAGCTTTTGGCGATCAAGTTTTATTCGCTTTATTTAGATAAAGAAAAATTTTGTATTGTAGAGTGCCTTTACCTATTATTATTGCGTATGAATTTATACAGAGGGTTCTCTACCTGTGAAAAATTTCATTCTCGTATTCCAGAATATAAGTGATGAATTTCAGCCGAGCTGGAATGTCAACTGCAGTCTTATTTACCATATTCGGTATAGAAATTAAAGAAATATTCAAAAACATCAGGTAACATTCAGGAGAATTAATCCAAATTTACAGATTTTCAGAAATTTTTCCATGGTTAATGGCTATTACTGCAATTAAGCCTTCGCTATCACTGAATTTTTGCAGCAAATATTGGTTCTGTGCTACGAGAACCTATGTGATGATCGATCGAACTTTGCACACGTGAATCCCGATTATTGTGCGAGCGTAACCTTTACATTAAATGACTGCAATGATTCAAAATTTTGTATAATAGTCGGATCACAACGAAGCTGCCCAGTCGAGGCGCTACAGGTTTGCACGAAACATTCGTTTTCCTATCAGATACCCAACCCTTTCTGTATTCCACTACCTTAACATACTGTACTACTTTATATACCAATTACTTACTTTATCATACTACTTTATCCAACCTGCCGAGATTCCTTCCATGGTAGACTTCATAAATCCTTATTAACAATGAAAGATCAATGTGCAACAAAAATATGCTGAAAATTATAAAGCGGATCATACACGAGTTCAAATAGCTGGACGAAAATTGTTAAAAGTAAGTTGACGGGAATGTCTAGGGTAGACTAAGGTATGAATTCGCTGGAATATTTTATGATTTCACCTAAAGATTTTCCAGTTGCACAAAAATTATTGTACTTTTAGTCAAATTGCAGTCAATTTGAATATAACATTCCTACTGTAAATTTTCTTCACAAACTCATCATTCCCAAAAATTAATCAAAATGATCTACTTTATGGGTCCTAATCCATCAAATTATCTCCAATATTGCACAGAATTTAAATGTACAGAACAATTCCTTGCTGCAACCCACTTATCAGCACAAGATATAATTTAATATTGACGAATATTATGAATCTTCCCAAGATTATGCCTGGAAAGGTCATGATATAAAATGCTTTCTAATATTTCATTGCAGTCTACAGGCATAGCGAGTTCAGCATATGATAGTTGTTGTTCACGGTTCTTTGACGGGAGAAATGTTTTATTAATCTGCTCTCTAATAAAAGCCTATCAAAGTAAATGCCATATCCATGTGGTTTTCTTTCATAAGTTGAATGTAGTGTTACCTCTAAAGCTCTAATGTGAACTTTGTATCATTAAAATGCGCTATCTCATGTTTGATTAAGAGCACCATGTATTTATAAAAATGTGCATGGAAACTCGAAAAATGTGTAAAGCCATTATTAAATTATAAATTTAAGAGAAACGCCTATCGAAAATTTATAATTGTCTATTTAATTATTCCTTCTTGAAACATTATGATTTCAGTGATGATGGAAAGTGGAGTCTCAGCTCATCTAGTCTACGTAACCAAATTGGTATATTTAGACCAAATCCCTTCATGAAGACATGTTTGATAACAAATTATGTCCTTTATATTCAAAATTTCCGTAGAGTTTCCTTGTTCATGTTACACATAAATTTGAAAGCATCGTAATTTCAGTACGCTGATAAAGTCTATGAATAAGGACGTCTTGCAAGACCAAGTACCCACGCATACACGCATTTGATCCTTATGTTACTACCATTGAATGCGTGTAATTAAAATCGAGATTGCCGAAATTAAATTTGCATCGGGCACATTAGTGAGCTGAATGTTATGAACGTCTCACATATCGTGAAACTTTATCCCAAACATCCAATAAATATGAGGTCAGGCCAAGAAGCGCGTAGTCAACACTCAATAATGCACGCGCCTCCGAGCCCATTAAATAATAATAACGTTCAGAGTTAAGCCTTTATGGGAGCGCTTGTATGTTTGTTCGGCAGCTCATACTCCTCAGGGCGGTGGCCGCAGGAGTGCCTTGGCCAGCAGTGCACCGGCAATCTTACTTTTAAACGCTCGGATAAAACCTCAGCTATGAAATGTTGTTAGGGTTTTAATTGAAGACATTTTTTGAAATGTTAGGTTTAGAGACGATCTTACTGTTCACGTCCGCGCTCTAGGAACGCTGCTCTAGTTATTGTTTGGTGCTCGGTGGTGTCGGTGCTGCGCCGTATCTTAACCAAGTAAGCATTGTTTGGTGCGGAGACGTGACGGAGGAAAGTTTAGGGCTTGAACTTGAAACATTATATAGCGAATACAAGTGGAGTTTGAATTCCCTTGGAACATGAACATGGAGTGTGTTGGAACTACGATCACGAGCCGCATTTAACGCTGATGCTTGGGCCTAGTTGGCTTTCGGAGTGAGCCCACAGCATAATTTGGTGCCGTGCCAGCGAGTTCGTGTTTTCCCAATGTCGTGTTTTGTACCTTGGTGATAGTTTCAGTTTCTCAGTGACTACAGTTTACAGTGCTTTCCTCCTGATCGCTCCGTACCGCGTAGGGTTATAGTATCGCAAGCTCCCAATGGCTACAGCAAGTAATGCAGATCAACCCGATGAGATCCTTAGTCAGGATGAAGAGGATAACTTTATTCGTGAAAATCTTGCGTACATTGACAAATTTTTAACGAACATTAGGGTGCGTGAAGAATTACTTCCCGCCAACAGCCGACTACGTGTCAGTGAATTCAAGAAGAATTGGGCTCCTTTTCTGGCATCTATGCCTTCCGCTGCTGTTATTGGTAGAACTATTGTATCTGATAAGGCGACCGGTGCCATTTCCAAACGGAATCGGGTTCAAGCCAAAAGCGACGCAGATGGCAGTGATTTTTCTTCGAGTGAGTCCGACAAGTCTGCACACACAGGTCATACACCGGATAGTGATTCTAGTTCAGACGAGATTGTTCTCAAGAGGACGTTCCCTCGCAAGTCCCGCGTGAGGATTAAGAGTGCTTTTAAGCTGAGAGACTGGAATAGTGTACTAGAAAAGCTTGACAATCGTAAGGTGCCTGATATTGAGAAGTTCAGCGAAGAATCTGGCGTAAGTCTCGGAAGGTACCTACAGAAGTTCGAAGATTATTGTACGCAGAACTTTAAGGGCTCAAAGGATTCATGGATTGGCGAGTTGGAGCGCCATTTGCAGGATCGCGCATTGAAGGCTTTCCGATCGCTTCATGACGTCAGCGATACGTATGATAGCATCAAGGAAAAGCTCTGCGATTGGTTCCATGATCTCCGTGACATCAGAAAGGAAGAGTACAAGGCCTTATTCAAGAAAGCGCGACCTGACACGGCAGAGTCTATGTACCTTTACAGCACTCGCCTAGAACGGTTGTACAAGAGAGCGTATCCCAAACGCAACACCACCACCAGCAGGGAGTTGAGAGAGAAGTTCGCAACTTCTGCACCGAAGAGATTCAGGAAAATACTACAATCCCAGATTATGACTTGCAAGATAAAGGAAGAGCCCGTCCAGTGGAAAATGCTGCAAAAATGTGCCAGGCATTTCGATATTGAGCAAGAGAGGAAGCGTAACCGAGACGAATCGAGTTCGGAGTGTGAGATGGCTGTCAACCTGTGCGGTGGAAAAAGAGTGAAAGACGCTACTATGCAGCACGACGCAGCTAGTTCTTCACAACCAGTGAATGTTACAGGCGCGCGTGAACTTTCACCATTCGAGCGAAGTGGAAGAAGAGCACCTGAGCACCGGCACACGCAGCGTCAAGAGCAAGCCCGATGGTACGCGCACGTGAACCCGCCTGTCTCCACAGGAAATAGTGAGGCATGTGCATTTTGTGGAAGAATTGGTCACTCAAGCAACGAGTGCCGCTCACGATTGAAGCAGTGTTTTGTGTGCGGGTCGGCGAACCATTTCCTTCGCGATTGCCCCAATAGACGCGAATACCGTAACCGCCCTGCTCAAACACGCTCATTGTCACAACCTGCGTTGAGAGACCCCCAGACCACGACTCGGAGGAATAGCTTTGCCAACGGACATAACCGCAGACCGTTAAACTTCATTGCTCCAACCAATCAGAGGTAAAGTTGGGGCCAAATGATCGTCAAGCCTCTGCACAAACGATAAAGTTGCAGAACAGATACGAGTTGCTGAAAGATGAACTCGAAAATGCACCTGAATCTTCAATCCTCAACACTCAAGCCGATGATGCCAAGTCAGGAAACGCAACCAGTGATGCACCTGCAGTTGAACCTCGAGTTGTTCGGTTCGCTCAAGAACCGAAAAGCACAGATACCAGCGACCTGTCGTTGGTTCAGCTCGCCTGCCTGCAGCCTGCGAAGCTTTTGCAGATACCTGTGCGGATTTATGGTCGCAAGGTGAATGCTTTGATCGACAGCGGAGCATCGAACACGCTCGTCAAGGTGTGCCAGGTACACCCAGTGCCAGTAGTGCCACATGATGAGCCTCTCATTATCAAGGGACTCGGAGGAGTGGAAGTGCGTACACTTGGCAGCGCAAACGTCGTGCTTCAGGTATTTGGTGCAGACTTGACTGTCCCTGTTACTGTTGTCAACGATGATTCTATTCAATATGATATTGTATTTGGTGCTGATTTTTTGAGACGTGAGAAAATTTTAGTAGACATGCATAGTCGTAAGGTATCCAGAATTAATAGGGATCAGTCTCGCGTAGATTATTATGTTGATGCCGATAATTCTGTAGTAGCTACTGTCGTGGAGAATTTGCCTGTTTATTCCACTGTTGATATTAATTTGTGTCAAAAGGGTACTTTAGTTCCGATAACATCGAATTTATCTCTAGATGCTTTGTCACATGCAACCTGTAACTTTTTATATGAAGGTAAATCCAAGAATAAGGTACAGGGTCTCGATGGAGTGATCAGTTTCAATCAGGTAGCTCCTGAAGTAGTGGTTTGTTGCAAGAATAGTGAGGGTAAGAGGTTACGCAAAGGCGAGATGATTGGGTCTGTTTCTACCATGATCGAGCTAGATAGTAACGATACCAGGGATGATATTGAATGGACGCCAGAAATGTTAAGGGAGAAAGTTAAGTTTGGTAGCTCGTTGTCGACAGAGCAGAGGGATGTAGCATACGATATGTTGATGCAGACTAGTGGAGCCTTAAGCCAAGGTGATGGAGACTTA